TTATTAGAAATGGATCGTGACCACTTCAATGTTATAGGTTCAGTACAACCTACGAGTAGACTACCTATGACTAGACTTATTTCGAAATAGTTATGTAAAACCTTAAAGGGCATGAGTTGAATAATTTGAAGTACCTATCTAACAGTAAATAGTAAATAACATGATAATAAACAAGAGGCTATTAACTCTGTGTTTCCTTACAAGCATAAAGTACAATTATAAAGTAGTATCTCAAGTGTCGCAATATAATTGTCACTTGACATGATCATAATCATAGTTGCTTTATTATTTATTAACAAATATATAAGTCATGAAGGTTGAGACACGACCGTCAGTGTTATTGATACTGTAGACGTAGGATCGGTTCACAATGAGTTTCACGGGCAAAGTGGTATTCATCAGTGGCGCGAGTTCTGGAATTGGCGCAGCAGCGGCAATTGAATTTGCTAAACAAGACGCTGATGTTGTAATTATTGGAAGAAATGAAGCGAAAATGAATAACGTATACAAACAATGTGAGGCGCATGGTAAGAAACCTTTAGTCATCAAGGCTGATATATCAAAGGACAAGGAAGCAAAAGCAGCAATTAACAAAACAATCGATAAATTTGGCAAACTTGATATCCTGGTAAACAATGCGGGAATTATGAGGTTGGGAAGTATTCTAAATGGAAATTTATTAGAAAGTTATGATGAAGTAATGAGTACGAATCTACGAGCGGTAATGCACCTTACTGCCCTAGCTGCTCCACACTTAATAAAGACAAAAGGGAACATAATTAATATTTCGAGCATTGCGGGTGAAATATTTCCGATTGTACCAGAATTCATGTCATATAGCGTCTCCAAAGCAGCACTTAATCATTTTACGCGTTGTTCCGCATCTGAACTGGCTGGTTATGGTGTTCGAGTAAACTCTATTAGTCCTGGTCCAGTAAAAACGGATTTCGCAGAAAATTCTGGCATCACCGATCTTATTACCAAAGCTAATTTTAAAACACCTCTTGGTAGAGTGTCTGATGCCGTAGAAATAGCCGACTTGATTTTGTATTTATCAAGCGACAAAGCAAAAGGCATTACTGGTTCCAATTACGTAACTGACAACGGTTGCCTTATAAAAAGTAAATGAAAAAAATACAATTTGAAGACATTTTTATAGGTATTTTTTTTAATTCATTTATATTCGTTTTATTTCATAAATATTCTATTATGTACTATTTGTCTGTCATAATTTTTTTGTAAATTTGTGTACGTTTTTTTTTCATTCATTCTAAACAGCCCACTGCTGGACACAGGCCTCTTCTAACAGTAAACGTCTTTGTTATTCCAAAACATAGAACAGTGGCATTTAGAGGGTACTTCAGGTATGCAGCTTCTCGCTGCTGGAACGATCTGCCTCCACCAATGCGTGCTTTAAAAACTATAGGAACAATTAAAAAAAACTATCAGCAATTTTAAAACAAGACCATAATCCCTCGTAATTCAAATTTTTTTTCTCTTTATTTTTTTTACATGTACAATATAAAGGTCCTCTAATTAATGCTGGAAAAATTGCTGGATAATACTGACTGTTTTTTTTTTTAATTTTCTCACTAATTTTTCAGTTTACTCACTGTTTCGTCTCTTAATGTTTACGGTTGTTAAATCGTAAAGTCTTTACAATTAAATTCAGTTTTTTAGTTTATTAAGACTAGATAATAAACTATATGTTGTTGGGCTGTTGAGTATTTTATAATGTACGTGTATGTATGTACAATAAATGTGTGTGATTTATATACGTATGTATTGATGTATATATATATACATATATATATATATATATATATATATATATATATATATATATATATATATATATATGCAAGTGTACAGTTCAATTTACATGTTATTAGTTCCAAATAATACCTCTTTTATACTGATTCCTTCCCCACTCACTTCTCAGAATGGTTGTTTTTAATTTTTAACTTTAAGTAAAGTACCGTCCGTGAAGTGAATATTGCGGCTCTATTAACTCACGCTGCTGTCATTTACTTCAGCAGCAGTTAGCTGAAATAGGGACCTAATTCGACTTCACTAAAATCCATTTTATTTTTTATTGTAAAATTTCGAGTTTTTTTCCCTTTGTGATTTCAAATAAAGTTTCTCTTTCTTTCTTTTTTCTTTCTTTCTTTCTTCTAAGGTCGAGATGATTTGCTATTGCCATGGCGGATAAGGTTACGGTCGTTCAAGCAAATACTTCTAAACACGTGAGAGTCTCACGCCAAACAGTGGACTTTTACAGGCAAATGTAGATCAGAACCCCACTGCGTTTTGTAACTGTAAAACTGTGAATCGGGGTTAGCTTCGTTATGACGTGTTGCCTTTAGCTTGATTGTATTGTTATGTATCAATATCGATTTTTTTATATGAATACTTCTTTCTAGATGACAATAATGTTATGATAATTGAAAAAATGCATTTGCTTACTCCAAATAGCGGAGCAATTTCCATCGGCAAACAACTACAAGTTACTTAATCGAACTGCTGAAATATTGCACCTGCATACTGTACTTGTTTCCGCATTGTACCGGCTTGGTACTTAATGTCAAGTCATAAACGAGTTTCCTTCATCATTAGCAAATTATCTTTATATTGCCATATGCAAAATACAAAATGCCTAGCCCAGCGACGGAAAAATGGCAACGGTACAAAACTTCTGGCATATGGTCCCTAATCCACCTACCAACCACAACAATTACGTGTATGTCATCCCTACTATAGGAGAAGTCCAGGTCCAGCAGGAGATTGTCAACGAACTGATGAGAATGACGATAAATACAAGATGGTTATTAATGCCATCTAACAAAATTCTCATGCAGGAACGACGAAGGTCTTTGGGCTTTGGTCGCCTTTTACGCCATATATATATACATATATATATAAAAAAAAAAAATATATATATATAAATAAAATGAGATATTTATTTCTCTTACCTCACTACCACACGATGTCATATGTTTTTCTTAAGTATGTATTATATATTTTGTGGAAACTTAAATTATTTCAATCTTCAGGAATAATATAATACTGCAATAAAACATCATATTAATAATATATTGAATATGTATTACATGTAGTATTTTTTATTTTGATGATATTACCGTTTTAAATTAACCATTTGTATATAATACATAATTTCAACATTTCTTAAGTTTTTTTATACCGTTTGGTGACAAACGAACACACAGTCCACCTGATGGTAAGTGGATGATGTGGTCCATAGAAATCCACATTTATCCTCAATTAAGAATCAACTTCACCTTGAGGACTAAGATGGAATGCCTCGATTCTAGTAAAACGGGTCTTCGGTTCTCTACACTCACCCTACTGTGAGAGCGCGGTCCTGACCCGGTCGAGCCGATCCATTGATGCTACAACTATAATATAGCTGCAGCTTGGCTCTACCACGTAAAAAATTTTGACTCTACCACGTAAAAACTTGGCTCTACCACGTAAAAGCCTGGCTCTACCAGGTAAAAAACATTCCGGTTGGTTTTTAACGAAAAGTCTCAAGTATTACCGTACGACGTAAATACAAATAAGAATTGAATTTGATAGACTGCAATTAATTAATGAAATGAATAACAAGGCATTATAATACACATACTAGTAACCAACGGGCACACAGTCCACCGGGTCGTAAGGATCTGGTGTGGCCTTTAAAAGGGTTATTATAATACGAAAAGAAAAGGCTAGTATGTATAGAATGAAGAAAGTGAAAAATAAAAGATTTGATATCTGTTTTAAATTTTAATATTTTACCTGATTTCGAAAAATTCTAACTACGTATGCTCACTATATGCCAATAAATTAGAGTCAAATACTTATTTCTTTCCTAATTGTTTAGGAGATTACCACTGAAAACGAATGTTTTATTGTATTAATTACTTTTAATTAAATTCACTTATTGATCAAACTGAAGGTGACTAGCCCATTTCGCTTCACCTCCATATTTTATATACTTGAACAAAAGTGGCTCTTATAAAATAATTTATTGTTATAGAATTTATTTACTATCGTATATACTTATACAGATAAGTAATTTTGTCATATAAAAGGTAGATAATGATATATTATTAACTACAATATCATAAAAGAGTTTTTTTATATTTTCACTTACGATCTTCATATTTAAAATTGCTCATGAATATTTGCGGGCTATATTAGCACATGTTTTGCACCAGAATCAAAACGTTTTTTTTAATAATTTCTCAGTTACATCTGCTTCTTGGAAAAAAATTATCGTCAGTTAAATTAAAATAGGATAACTCCGTGCAGCCGCGAAACAAAATTAGCAGAAATCCCACAAAAAAAGGTTTATCACCATCATTACAGCCTATCTAAAGTCCTCAGCTAAACATAAGCCTCCACCATAAATTATGACATAGGAAGTATATCTCCCATAGCTCTTACTTTTGGCAGACAGGTTGGCCAGGATTCTTATTTTAAAGATGTTATTAGGAAGACACAACTGGCTATCTCCTGGTTTGTTTGGAAGATGATAAGTGTCAGGGATATTCTTACACAGCCACTATACGGTTTATACATTTATTATTCTTAATAAAATAGTTACTACTTACTTCGTAGAAATGGATCGTGTCCACTTCAATGTTATAGGTTCAGTACAACCTACGAGTACACTACCTATGTATAGGCTTGTTTTAAGAAAGTTATAAAACCTTGGAGAGTACGAGTACAATAAATTCAAGTGCCTATCTTACAGTAAATATTAAATAACATGACAATACACAAGAGGCTTTTAACACTGTATTTTCTTACATGCATAAAGTACGATTATACAGTAGTATCTCAAGTGTCATAATATAATTATCACTTGACATAATAATAGTTTATAGTCGCTTTGTTATTTATTAACGAAGATAATATATAAGTCATGAAGGTACATAAGACATGACCGTCAGAGTTATTGATACTGTAGACGTTCGTAGAGTGTGTTCAAAATGAGTTTCACAGGCAAAGTGGTATTCATCAGTGGCGCGAGATCTGGAATTGGCGCAGCAGCGGCAATTGAATTTGCTAAACAAGACGCTGATGTTGTAATTATTGGAAGAAATGAAGCGAAAATGAATAACGTATACAAACAATGTGAGACGCATGGTAAGAAACCTTTAGTCATCAAGGCTGATATATCAAAAGACAAGGAAGCAAAAGCAGCAATTAACAAAACAATCGATAAATTTGGCAAACTGGATATACTGGTAAACAATGCGGGAATTATGAGGTTGGGAAGTATTCTATATGGGAATTTATTAGAAAGTCATGATGAAGTAATGAGTACGAATCTACGGGTGGTAATGCACCTTACCACCCTAGCTGCTCCACACTTAATAAAGACAAAAGGGAACATCATTAACATTTCAAGCATTGGGGTGAAATATTGCCGATTTTACTAGAATTCGTGACATATAACGTCTCCAAAGCAGCACTTAATCATTTTACGCGTTGTTTCGCTTCTGAACTGGCAGGTTACGGTGTTCGAGTAAACTCTATTAGTCCTGGACCAGTAAAAACAGATTTTGCAGAAAATTCAGGTATCACCGATCTCATAAACAAAGCTAACTTTACAACACCTCTTGAATATCTGATGCTGTGGAAGTAGCCGACATGATTTTGTATTTATCAAGCGACAAAGCAAAAGGCATTACTGGTTCCAATTACGTGACTGACAATGGTTGCCTTATAGAAAGGAAATAAAAAAAAATCAGTTTGAAGACAATTATATAAATATTTGATTTTAATAATTTCATATGTATTAGTTTTATTTGATAAATATTCTATTACTGTTTGTATTACATATTTTGTCATAATTTTTTTGTGAATTTGTGTACGTTTTTTTTAAATTTTCATTCATTTTAAACAGACCAATGCTAGATACAAGCCTATTCCAAAGTCGAGATGATTTGCTCTTAGAATAGAATAGAATAGAATAGAATATTTTTTATTCAATATACATTAAGTAATTCTTATTGAAAGTCAATTTTTTACTTTACCACTGGTTCGTAAAAACCTCTGTCCTGGGAAGAACTAGCAAGAAACCCAGCGGGACTTTTTTTTAAATAAGTAAATTTTACAATGTCAATGGTCACAAAATATTTGCAAAGTTTATTATAGAAACAGCTTGGAAGCGACCACCTCATTCCCAGGGGTTATTATCAAGCATGTATTCATTTGTATCATAATAACCCTTTTTATCCAATTTTTGTTTACTTAAATATTTAAACTTGGTAATAGAGAGATCTTGTATATTTTATGGGACTTTGTTGTAATAGCGTATACATTGCCCCAAGAATGAATTATAGAGATGAGCTCGTGTTTGTTCCTAGTGTTTACAGAGTGTATGTTACTTTTTTTACTAAAACTACCTTTGTTTTTGTGAACATATATCAAATTTTCATAGATGTACTGAGAGGACAAAGTTAATATATTTATTTCTTCAAATTTTTCTATAAGAGACTCTCTCGGTTTAAGGTTGTAAATAGCTCGAATGGCCCTCTTCTGCAAAACAAAAATAGTTTCTAAATCAATCGCATTCCCCCATAGCTGTATCTCATACGACATTATGTTATGGAAATAACTGAATTAAACTAATCTAGCTGTCTCGACACTAGTGAGATCTCTAATCTTTTTTTACAGCATAAGCTGCAAAGCTTAGCCTGCTTGCTAGTTTAGATATATGGGGCCCCACTGAAGCTTAGCGTTGAGAGTGATGCAAAGAAAAACAGAGGATTATTGCCATATCGGGTAAGGTTATAGTCGTTGAAGCAAATGCTTCCCAAGACTTGAGAGTCTCACGCCAAACAGTAGACTTTAACGTGCAAATGTAGATGATAAGCAACCCTACTGCGTTTTGTAGCTGTAGACCTTTAATGTGAATCGTGGTTGGCTTAGTTTTGACGTGTGGCCTTTGGCTTGATTGTATTGTCATGTATCAATATCGATTATTTTTATATAAATATTTCTTTCTAGATGACAATAATGTTACGATTATTAAAAAATACATTTGCTTACTCAAAATTGCGAAGCAATTTCCATCGGCAAATAACAAACAGTTACAAAATCGCAATGCAGATATATTGTAATGGTTGTGGTACGTCCAGTTATAAAAGAGTTTCCGTCATCATTAGCAAATTATCTTTACATTGCCAGATGCAAAATACCAAATGCCTAGGCCCAGCGACGGAAAAACGGCAACGATACAAAACATCTGGTATATGTTACCTAATCCATCTACCAACCACAACAACTACGTGTATATCAAATCATTCCTTCTATAGGAGAAGTCCAGGTCCAGCAGGAGAATTTTATCGAACTGATGAGACTGAAGAAAAATACAAGATGGTTATAAAAACATCTAACAAAATTCTCATGCAGGAATGATGAAGGTCATCGTCCATGGTCGCCTTTTACGCCATGCTCACTACCACACCTTGGCATAAGTTTCACTTAAGTCTGTATTATATATTTTATGGTAACTTAAATTATTTCGATGTTCAGGAGTAATATAACATTACAATAAAACATTATATTGTAATCAATGATATTATAAGTAAATTTCTTATAATATCATTGATTGCAATAATATATTGAATATGTATTATGTGTAATATTTTTATTTTAATAAAATTACTGTCTAAAAATAACCATTTGTATATAATACATAATTTTAACATTTCTTAAGTTTTATTTTGTAACGAAGTCTAAAAGTATTACCGTACGACGTTAATACTAGTGACCTCTGTTATATTTACAACGGCATCTGTGAACGTCCCTCTGTGAGGTAAAGTCCTTTCAAATGTGATGTTGAATTCAATAGATTGCAATGAATAAGAAGACATATTTTATGCACAAACGGGTGACTAACGAACACACAATCCACCGGATTGTAAGGGTGTAGTGTGCCTAACACCTACATCTGTCCTTAATTAAAAATCAAAATGCAAATGTACCCCTATGGACTAAGATAAAAGACCTCGTTACCAATAAGACCTCGTTACCAATAAGACCTCGTTACCAATAAGACCTCGTTACCAATAAGACCTCGTTACCAATAAGACCTCGTTACCTATACAAGGAGGAGTAGCGATAGAGTTATTTCCCTACATCAAATTGTCTTTAATCTGCGCCATGCACACTTTCTCAGACAGTGAATCAATCAATTAACGCCAGAATCCTGTACGAGTAATACTAATGTGCTCTCCTAAAGCACTAAGATGATTTTAACCGGTTATTAGCCTATGCTTGAGATGGCTTTCCCTATAGCTTACGAGTATTAATTTGTTTTAACATTATACCAATATTTCATACTGGCTGTGCCCCCTCGGTTTCACCCGCGTATATCACGCGTCTGAGCCGCGCGACATGACATGACACCTCGCTCATTTAGTTCAATCGGCATAATATGTACGTTGTACAGAAAAGTTAAATTTCATCCACTCTCCCTCCACCTCCCGGGTGAACATCTTCTCCCGCGCTCCAGCAAGTGCCCCGAACCGCGGTTTCTTCCAGTTTACATGGTGAAGTTATGAAATGATCGTCGACAAATTTCTGTATCAAAACATACAAAAGTGATATCATTTATAATTAAAACATTTTTATAATTTTTATCAATTTCGATTTAGATATCGAAAAGTTTTTAAAGCTTATTTTTGTTAAAATATTCAACTTTACCGCCAAACTAAATAATGACTAGAGTAAAGAATAGAATATGCTTTTAAAATTAGGTATAAAATATCTCTTAATCTTTTAGTATATAAGATAGGACCACGCTCTCACAGAATACCAGCGTGAAATAGCAGCTCAATGCTGCTGTGCTTCGTGTGGTGAGTGTGGAGAAACGGATACCCTTTTTACTAGAACCTGAGGACTGAGATGGAATGCCGAGGCATTCCATCTCAGTCCTCAGTCAACCCATTTGCGTTTGGATTCTTAATTGAAGATAAATGTAGATGTCTATGGGCCACAGCATCCACTCACCATCAGGTGCACTGTGTGCTCGTTTGTCACCTTTATTCTCCTTAAAAAAATTGTAACTAACTATTGTTTTAACTGGCGATCTAATTAAATTTTATAACACAAAGGTTAGGTTCGGTTGCAATTGTGAAGTCGTTGGTTCGGAGCTCTTGAGCTTATTCGGTACAAACAAACAAACAAAAAATCCAACGATACGTTCTTTAATTCTTTTCCTCCAAGCTGGAATAGCGCTTCTTTGCCCAGTAGTACGTCCGGCCGTGGAATGTTTGGCGCCTATAATACGGCAGACTGCCAGTGCAGCGCCAAAAATGAATTGAGTTCATCTCGCAAAGGTCCCAGCCGATTTCTAAATAGGTCAACAGCACTGAGTTCAGAGCATGACATGACACCTCGCTCATTTAGTTCAATCGGCATAATATGTACGTTGTACAGCAAAATTAAATTTTATCCTCTCTCCATCCCCCTCCCGGGTGAACGTCTCCTCCCCGCGCCTCAGAAAGTGCCCCGAAACGGCGCTCGGAGTTACGTGGTGACTACGAAAGAATCTGCCGAACTCTACGCAAAATGGACTGAGGCAAAGTAGCGATGAATAATAACTGGAACACTTATACATGATGATGTTTGATACAGGAATAGATATATGTGTTACCTATGAAAGACGAGATATAAAAGGGAATAGATGCCTTTGTTTATGACGTACATACCTCTTACTGTAAGGACAAGACTGAGTAGTCATGCGAGGAGATTGGTATCATCATTTTAGGAAGAATGAGTAAGTGTGTGCAAGAGTTCATACATGAACGTGTTAGCCCGACGCTGCTATGGATATGAATGAAAGGGGACTCAAAAAGGATATTTGTCCTGGATTTTACGCCTTAGATATGTCAAAGCCCACTAAAATCACAGAACAATTTGGGAAATTGTAAAAATGATGTTAATGAAAATAGATTTTAATGAAATAATTCGGGTGAACTGGGCTTGTTATTGAAGAGTTTTGGAAACGTTTGGTGATGATTGCGCAAACGAGAATGGTAAAAGCCTTCTCACAATATGTATGAAAAGAAATTTTTTTCTAACAAACGCTTTCTTTCTTCATAAGAAGATTCGTATGTGTATATATGGAAAAGAAGAAAAGACTAAAGCATGATAGATATCATAATTGCTAGTGGAAGAATGAGAAACGCTGTGGTAGAGGGTTTATAGGGTCCAACGTAGGGACAGATTGTTACTATTAGTTTAACGCAAAACTTAGTAGCAAGTTATCAATAATGCCTAAATCAAATTGCCTTATTCCGACTAAGATTGACAAATTCCTCTGCAAAAAGTGCACTGCATCTACCTGTAAATATTAACGTCAACGTAACGCAAAAAATGATTCAGTTGTTCAAAAACAAATAATACGAAAATTAATCTATAAAAGGTA